ATTATTTATATTAAGGATGTCTCCAAAGGTCAACGAAGTTTTCGCAGAAAAATAATATCAGAAATCGCGGCTGCGGTTTGATGTGCTGTTCCGCGTCGAAACCAAGCTTTAGCAACGGGCGTAGTCGAACGGTAACACTCGGTAAGCAATCCTACAATTTTTTGTTTATAACGTAGTTTATACGGATTATTTTCAAAAAAATATACGTATTTTGGAAATGTTGAGTCGAATTAGTCTAGAATCGATTAATTTTATGAAAGAAAACCTTTCAAGTAGTCCGTAAACTATGATTCCTACAAAATTGATTCATAAAGAACGGAACGTATCTACCGTCTTATAGGGGGATCTACTGTATAAATAAATAAATCTTTATTAGTATTATCCATTCTAAGGTCCAAACCAGTATTTCTGCCAGTGCTGTCAAATACTGTGTAAATATATAAAGTCATACAGCACTGGTGTTTCATAAGATTAATTTTTGAAGTTTTTGAAAAATTCTTAGAAAAATTTCATAATTTATGTTATTGATATAAGAGAGAGAATTATTTTAAATTATTTTTATTATAAGTAAATGAAATGGATTTACATAAAATATATAAAATTTTTACTAATTTGGTCAATTAAACTATTAATATTTTAAATTTGTGTAATGGACATTTATTTATTGTTAAATGTCATTGCAGATCACTCAGTTATGCAGCTGAAGGAAAACTTAAAATTAAAAATGGTAAGTTATAGATTTATATTTTCAAGCATAAAAATATATAAAGAAATAAAATTTGGAATTGCCAACTTATGTTATGATCTTAGAAATTTTTTAAAAATAATTCTTGTGCCATAATATCATATAAAGCATAGTAGTTTACATGTTAACCATCATGAAGTACAAAGTTTGGCCTCAATGATTGATTACATCATATGCTCCACGGACTGTCAGTAGCATTTCTGTAAATATAAGTTTAATTAAAAAATAATGCAAAACCAACCTGCAAGGGAGGCATAGTATATGCTACTAATGGCTTATTAATGTATTCGTTTGTCTAAGCATTGAGGCATACATATTGTACCTCAAACAAAACTTTCAAAATTAGTGTAAATATTCTTAAAAAAATCAATTCAAAGAGTAAATTTGGTTTCTTGAAATGACGAGAACATAAATTTATAGAAAAAAAGAATGGTCCAGGAGACATGAAAATTTTTTTATGTAGGTGGTTAATATGTTAATTTTATACGTGGGTGCTTAATAAACTTTTCTAATCTTGCAACTCATTTTGTTAAGTCATTAATTGTATGTTGTATCATAGATTTAAATTGCACTTTGAATATGGATATGTATGTATGTTTGTTAGTTTTTAATGGATCAGAATTTAGGAGAGAATATTTAACTGTGAATATCCACAATTGCATTTAATTAAATCATAAAACATAATATGATAATTATCATTCGTAAATTCAATTTGAATAAAAATACCAATAACTGACACAAAATTACAAAATTAGCATTTTTTATTTCACATATACTCATTGATTAAGAAATGGATCTTAGCTAAACTTTGTATATGTGTATTTGAAAGGAATGGTGGGAAATCAGCATTTTTATACTATTAGCATTTAACATTAATGGTTATAGAGTTTAACATTTATTCTCCTGTTTTAAAGATATTTTACAGAAATTTTACACAGTATACATCTCGGAGTAGGAGTTGAAATTATAACATAAATTATAAATTATAATTGAAGCTGTTGAACAAAAATAAACAACTACAAACCTTTATGGTGCGATATTGAATAAAATCAAGATAAAAAGTTCCCACAAACATTTTCGAACCTAATTACGGTTCTTCATCAGGTGAAAAAATCATTCGATGGAATGCAAAGTTTGAAAGAGATTTGTTCATCGAAATCCAAGAATTCTGCATCTGTCGTCATCAATGGGCATGCGTATTCTGATGCAAGAGCTTTTATTTATATAGCATGTTCTCTCCGTCATATATAAGCGACTGCCACGCTAGGGATAGAGACACTTCATCTTTACAGTTAATACACTTGTTGTCATGGGCCATTTTATATATATAAATCGCTTCGATCCATCTTAGATGCTTCGTATGAGGTGTGGTGTAGATGTTGAACAACTAGGGCATATTTTAAATAGAGATACAGTAAAAGCTGTGTAAACTAGATCAGTGTTCCGCAACCGGTGTGCTGTCACAAGGTGTAAGGTGTGACGTGAACTTTTACATATTCTATTAATTTCAAGCTTTATTTATATATTTTTATCACAATTGCTGTGCTTCTTATGCTTGTCTTTCAAGTGTTATCTCATAAGTGCCGCAGCACTTATGAAATAAGATGATGATCGTTTATTCTTTATTATAAGCCACGCATTTTTATGTATTTTAAGAAATTAAATGTAAAATAAATTAGCTCACGGGTTTGATGTCTGTTTAATAATAATAATAGGTTAGTGGCATTACGTAATTCTATTAATAGTATCATATCATATGCTTTTGAAGGGAATAACATTTTATTGTGCCATGTTGAGACGTGTCGAGTCATGGGTGTGCCGCGAATAGAAAAAGCTTGTGGAACACTGAACTAGATTCACACAGTACCAAATTTTTTCTGTTGTAACAGGTTTCCACTTTGAACAGATTTTAATATTTTATTATTAACTACTATTATTAAATGCTTTTATTTAACTTCATTTATATCATGTTCTGAAATCTTGCAACTCAATTTCATCCATTTCCAATAGAAGGATGAAACTTTGAAAACTAAGTCCGATCATAGTGCACTGTAAAGATTTCCCCATCTTTACAATCCTTCCCACCCAAAAGCCTGATCAACAGAACCATATGTAGAATTTGATCAGTAATATCAATTGGACATGGATATTTTAACTCTGTTCTCAATCTTTTAAAATAATCTCATCAATACACACTGTAAAATATACGACTTACTTCACAACGTTAGTGAAGGTATTTTGAAATAAGCACTGTTTTGGTTTCGAGTCCGAAGTAAGTCGAATCTTTTAAAAATTATCAAAAATAAAATTTAATCAGTAATATTATTTATTAATGATATTTTCATTGGTTGTAGAGAGACACTTTGGTTAAGGAAAGCAGAAGGGATTGATTTACCTGAAATTTTACACAAATAAAAACACAAGTTTTAATACTATACTGATAATTTGTTAATGATTTTGTTTCGTCTGACCAATGTTTTTTTTGGTTGTTTTTGCTTTGTTTGCATTTTTCTTACTGTCTTTCCCAAATTTGAAAGGGCATTTACCTTTCCTGCTTCTTTGACTCATACATATATGGACATTTTAGATGTATTTGTATATGCATTGTAGTGATGTATATGATAAATATTACATAGTTATGTTCATTTTTATTATAAAATTATTTTTATTACATATGTAAGAAACATTTTATTACTAGGTTTAATTCAAATTAATCCAAAAGGATTTCAATTAAAGATGGGTGTATTCAAATGCAAAAATTGGGAACTATTTGATTTCAAAAGCTTTTAAACATGTTTTTAAGAAGTTGTGTTAGGAATTTGAATACTAAGAGTTCTTGGATGCAATCTTTTGAGATAATATAACAGTGAACAAACCAATTTCAGAACCAAGAACTGGTGTCTCACTTTGCTGCTGAAAATTCTTATTGTGTTACAGTAACAATGAAATCAAATGATTGCCAGATTTAATAAATATTAATTTAATTATAATTATTAAATTTAATAAGAGATATGTGGCTTGGTCAAGCCATGTTTCTTTAATTTCCTTCCCTTTTCCCTTTCTTTTAAAATTATTACTTCTAGCCATTGTCTATCTGGCCTTGTCCTTATTGGTTGGCCTTAGTGGCTCTTTCAAACAGAAAGGGTCGGGAAAACTAAAGGGTGAAGGGGTATATAAAGGAGGAGGATGATGAAAGAAGGGACTTTTGAGTAGAGTTTTTGAAGAGAGAGGACGGAATCCAGTTTAATTATCGAGATAAAGTGGAGAGAGAGAGTTATGAATTGTGAAGATTGGAGAATACCTCCCTAGGTGTAAAGGAAGAAAATTAGTTATAAAGGTTTCTGTATTTTTTGCCCAGGTCATGGAATAACTGAAATGAGTGATTCAGAGAAGTAAGACACACGCAACGAGAAGAATAACTTGGAATTACCACCATTTCATCAAAGAAAGAAAATCCCAGGTGTTATTTCTGCCAACCGTTTCTTTCTCTAAAGTCTGCTGTATTAATTTAATTAATGAATTATTTTAGTTTTCATCTAACCCCATCTTGTTCCAAGGCCCAATTAATTGTAATATTAGTTAAGTTAGAGATAAGTTTAGATTAAGTTTTTTGTTTGCATGGGACATTCCAGTCAATTTGCATTTTTTGTCCCAATTTCTTTATATATTTCAATAATTGTTCAGTGGAGTTGGAATAATTTTTATGATTGAAGTATTAAAATCTTCTTTTTCTTGTGTTATTCTTTGGAGTTTTTTCCTTTGGTAACAGATGGTCCTAATGCCCATTTCTATTACCAAATTACTCAATATTTAATCATTAATAGTAGTGGTAAAGATGCCCAATGTAGAGCTGAAATTGTTTGATTTTATTATAGTACAGTAATTCAGAGACCAAGTTATTCTATGAACTGACTTCTTGAGGAGTTTCAATACTGTAATTAACTGTTAACTTTAATCTCTAATTACTTAATCAAGTTGTTTTTGAATATTCAGTAATACTTACTAACTACTCGATAGTCCATACAATGCAAATTGTCAGGACTATGTAACCTTATTTTCATTGCTTTCAATGAAGTACCTTCGTTGCTTATTCTCAAAAAGTTATTTCTTGGAAACTGAGTCTATTCATGATTAATTTCAACGATTCTAATACTAACAAAGACAGTCTGTTTGTATGTCCCTTGTCACATGATTTGTATTTCTCTCTAAAGATTTGAACTTTTTCTGAATATACAGTTAGTCATGCATTGCAATGTCTGTTATACCTGGAGGTGACTTTATTTATTTTTTATAAGTAATTTTCTACTTTCTTCAGGTTAAATTATGTTTTTTATGCCCAAAATCTTCTGTTTTCATGTTAGACAAGTTTCTGGCTTATAGTAAATGTCAATATAGAAAAATTCTCTAAAAGTTTTTTTCATTTAGGCAGACTTCCATTTTATTCAGGTTTCTTATAGCTAGGTTTTACTGAATTATCTAATATTTATATACAACTAGCTTACCCGTCGCGCATTGCTGCGATCTCAGAAAAAAGGAAATTCAAGCAAACTCGTTATGATAAAATTCAATTTACATTTTATTATTTTTATTGAAACTTATTATTATTATTCGTTTTCATCGGGAAAACATTTCAAAGTGTCGTTTCAATTCTATTTATTTATTGGAGTGCTCGTGGATACACGATATTTTTTGTTTTTTCGTCTGGTGCGTACACGAATAATTCGGAAGGTTTTCCGACGCGTGAGCTGGCCACATACAGTTGTCCATGCGAGAAGCACGGATTCTCCAAATTTAGCCCACACACTTGCAGCGATTGTCAGAAGTGCGATATTCCCCATTTTTATATATATTTTTTAATCCTTTATAATTTTAATTATTTAATTGCTCCTTCCTCTCTTCCTTGGCATGTTGTGAAATTTCTGATAGTTGGATAATAAACCGTTTTATTGTAATTTGTCTTTTTAAATTATTTTGAGTCGATATTAAAATTTGGAAAAAGGGGATTCCTAGATCGGTAAAATAGGCGAATTTCCTCCTACGACTTCGGTTGTTGTTCGGGATACAGTTAAGGTTTTAACAAAGTTCGAGCGAATACATAATTAGCAAAAAAAGTTAAAATAAAGTGATTAAACAAAAATTATTACAAATATCGTAAATAACAGTTCACAAATGCATATATAGAGATATTTTTTGAAATAGGGGGAAATGGTCTTCACAATTTGAAATCGATCGAACACACTGTCTCGATACACTCGTATAAACGCGCGCCATCTATCGTGTATTAAATGTACTATGCCAGAAACCTTCGCGGGAGTGTATTAAAAAACTTTCCTAAGTTTTATGGCAATCGTACTATGCCACAAACCTGCGCGAGAGTATATTAAACAACTTCCCAAAGTTTCATGGCAATCGGATAAACGGTGTGGTAATGCATGAAGGACATAAGACAGACACACACACAGACACACACACAGACATTCATTTTTATATATATAGATGATATATAAGAAAAATTTAATTAAGGGTATTGAATTATTTGGCATGATGAAAAACAAACTATTTCCTTATAATCTAATGTAATTATTCTTTCTTTTTTGTATTTGTTTTGGAGCTCATGAAGAAGTATTTTCTTCACTGTTTGACTAGGTCTTTTGCACAATGTACTGTACTTGTAAAATGTTGTCAATGAATTTAAGCAAATTGAATTCTTGTATTAACATTAAGCAGCATACACATGACAAAATTGTCAGTTAAGCAAACCAAACACTTTAGATTAGATCTTTTGCAGACACATGTGAAAGTTTATTTATAATTAATAAGAATATTTGAACATTCTAATTAGTGTTTTATTGAAAAGCTATTATGTGGATAGTATGATGAGTAGATAGATATTTAGAAAGGTAGATAAAGACAGAGACTTATTAAGACATATAATGTAAAGGAAGATAAGTGAAGTTGTGCCAAAGAGACTTTTGGAAGGGTTATTAATTAAAAATAACACTATAAGGAGTTGTAGAAAGGAAGGGGAAAAGAAGTCAACAGAACAGAGAATAGTTTGTGAATGTAAAGAGGACTTGAAATGGATGGAGAAAGGCTTCATATCATGTATAACTTTCTATTATAGGATGCAACTTTATTAGCATTACAATAAATGTTTACTATTGCATTCACATAGAAATTTTTTCATAATTATCAGTTGGTATTATCTATGGTTTTATTTTTATTGAAATCTGTAATCATTTTTTTAACTTAAAAGGTAAAGACAGAGAGAGAAACAGAAAACATGGCTAGAATAAACATATCTATTCTATAACTCTTAAAAAGGTAGTTATATTCATATGTGGCAGCATGTAGTGCCTCCTCTTGATACTAGAGGGCATACCCCAGAAGCAGTAATTATTTCGTAGAGCTACTTTCTATAAATTAGGAGAAACAAGAACTGTGAACTACTTTTTGACTCATTCCTCATTGTGGTCTGAACACTGACCTTTACCTACAAATCGCCTATGTTACATTTTCATATCGTAAGTAAATTTTCGTAGAATAAAAGAAAATATAACTGTATTTAAGTTGTCTAGGTGTTCCTTGACAATTTTAATGAGCCCACAGTGGTGATTCGAACACTAACATGCTCATGGAACTGGATTGAGAACCATGTGCATCGAGATACGAGAATACAAGATTGACAAAGATGTCATAACAATATTTCAAATAATCAGTTCGGTCCATTTTATATCCGAGGGAGAGAGCAAATTAGTCGCGTTGACCATAACCATAAAGTAATTATTAATTATAATAATCACACATATCCCTGCCTGCACCAACTGAAGGTGGTGCAAATAATCAGGTAAACCATATCGCTTTACAACTTCTGCAGTTTTGGAAGCAAAACATTCAATTATGGTAAATCACCAAACGATCGCCTAAATATCGGGCTATAATAAGGCTAATTAAATGATTGGTATAAATTAATTTGGCACTAGAGGTAGACGTTAAGTACCATCTGTTAAGTAAATTAATAATTAGAATTAAATAAATAAATTATTAAATAAATTTAGAACCTTCTGGAAAAAAGAACTGGCCCGGGACGGGGCTTGAACCTGCAACCTCCGCTTGCCATGCGGTGCACTTGCCAGTTACGCCACCCGGACCCCGAGCGAGTCCTCTCTTCCAGAAGTATATTACATTAGATATAACCTTACTTGGTTAAATATGGCACTGACTGGGGACTACTCGGGCTTTGAGATGTTGTCATTTATATATATATATATATATACATACCGGTATATATATACCTTGCCGGGTAATGCGATAGCTGGCTGAGTGCCGTTGTGGAGATGGTCTTAGGCCGTGGGCGATGGAGTCGTCCCCAATCAGTGCCGTAGGCTGACTGGGGACGGCTGACTGCAGGCTGATAGTTGATCTTAAAAGACAGAGACTAATTGACTCGGTGACCAAGTTGTCTTTGTCAGGGAATCCTAACATTTGTCTACAGCCAGAGTCAAGTTAATAAAGAGTGACTTGCATTTTTATGTCCTGCTAAATGACTATCCAGACATTTTGAACTCAGCAATGAGCTTTCGCACTGGAAAGCATACTACTGTACATTATATACAGACAACTGGACTACCTGTACATAGCAAAGTATGCTGCTTATACTCTGAGCTTTTAAAATGTGCTAAAAAAGAGTTTGAATTTATGATGGAGTGGGGAATCTGTTGCCTATCAAAAAATTCCTTGGGCTCCCTCCTCTTTACATTGTATTAAAAAGCACAGGAGGTATCCATCTAGTGGGGGATTGTAGGAGATTGAATGCACAAACAATACTTGATTTGTACTCTATTCCACACTTGCAGGACTTTTCTTTTGTCCTGCATGGAAAAAGTTTAATATCCAAATTAAATATCTTCCAAACATACCATGCTCTCCTGGTCACTGAGGAAGACGTACCTAAAACAGCCATTATTACTTCATTTGGCCTTTTTGAGTTCCCATTCCTCAATTTTGGACTTTGCAACATCACACAATCATTTCAGCAGTTTATTAATGAGCTATTAGAGCTTCCCTTCTGTTTCACCTACCTTGATGACATTTCATTCTCTTGGAAGATGAAAACCAACATGAAAAGCATCTCCAAATCATTTTTGAATGCTTGAATACCTATGGAATTAAGCTTGGAGGTAATGGATGGCCGCCATCGGTTAGACGAAACCTGGCCGTCTTTCTCCATCCATTTACATCTCCACAAAGACTGTAAACGTGAATTAGTTAAGTCCACGACCACGTTTTAAACTAAAACAACATTTATTTAACAACAATCCTCGAGTACACTTGAAAGAGAGCTACACGTGCTCATGGCAGCGATCACCTGACAAGAAGAAGAAGCAACAATACCCAGAATTCTCTCTCTGTTCCCGTTTTTCTATTTGGGATTCCCGGGAAACTTGTAGAGGAGTGGCGCCATCTCACCAGTCCGTGATTTGTCGCCGCAGTACCCCCCTCCTAGCGACCGCGATCGATGAATCTCACTGGGGGTTTGATTTTGCGGCCATGTCGTGAGGTCTTCGTCTTGTATGCGGGTTCTGGTTGTTGAGTATGCCCAGCCATCTTGTTGCTGGGTTGGTCTATCACCGGCTGTGCAGGGCTGATTGAGTCTTTCTCCTTGAGCATAAAGGCAGGTTTCAGTCTGTCGATGGAGACGACCACTTCTTTGTTATTTTTTTTAATTTTGAAGAATTTGTCTCCCTTTTCCACTACGGGGAATGGTCCGTCGTAGGGAGGGCGTAGTGGGGCGCGTACAGCATTGTAACGTAGAAAAACATGGCTACAGTCTCTTAAATGCATGGGAACAAAAAGTTTGGGCTCCCCATGCGATGCTGCCGGCGTTGGTGTTAAGTTTTTGCAGAAAGACTTTAGTGTCTTTATGAAATCTGCAGTGTTTATGTTTGCTGGGGTAGGATCGAAGAATTCACCTGGTAAACGTATTGTCTGTCCGTAGACTAACTCACTGGACGTTGCTTGTAGGTCAGGCTTGAACGTTGTCCTTAACCCAAGTAGTACGGTAGGGAGTATCTCTGTCCACCGTTCTGTTAAGTAGGTTTTCAGGGCACATTTTAATGTCCGATGCCAACCTTCGATCATACCATTAGCCTGGGGGTGAAAGGAGCATGTATGTATGTGCTTGGAACCCATTAGAATAGCCAAAGACCGAAACAAACGTGATTCAAATTGGCGTCCCTGGTCGGTAGTAATGACCCCTGGAACGCCGAACCGAGCTATCCACGTTCGGTATAAGGCTTTAGCCACAGTGTCGGCCTCTATATCCTGCAGTGGTTCTGCTTCAACCCAACGAGTATACCTGTCGATCATAGTGAGACAATAGCAATGATTTCCGGAAGGAGGGAGCGGACCAATAAGGTCGATGTGGATGTGATAGAAACGTTTGTTTTCCACGGGGATGCTTGTAATCGGACTTTTAGTATGTCTAGTAATTTTGACGCGTTGGCAAGGAATGCACGTAGTTGTCCACTTGCGACAG